CATGTTTCTACTTGTCTCATTTAGTCAGGTCAGCTTATTAAGGCCGGTGATGAGCATAATTTACTACACAAAGAGCTTTCACAAAAATGTGCTCATTATAAATAAATCAACTGAATTAAATGGAAAAATGTTGAATGCAACCATTGCAAATAAATTTCCCCACGGGAAATTACCAAAATTTAAAATATTTGTTATGTATTTTATGTGCAAAATGTGAACACATAAGCTAAATCTCATGCATAAGTCAGCTTATGCCAATGGAAACGACCAAATTTTAAATTCATTAACATAACAAAGTTATTATGTGGAAATTATGTGGAAACATGATATAAGGATTTTAGATTTTAGATTTACCATAATTTTTAATTTTTAATTTCACTTTACTCACATTTCATGATCTGGCAACACCATTGGGTAAATTTGCACGGTGTCAATTAAATCTGTGTTATCACATATCAAGCGTGAAAGTTTTGCTTTACGCAATTCTTGCAATTGTTCTGGTGTGAAAGATGATGGCTGATTGGGTAATTCGTACCAGAAACGATCACCACGTCGTACATAACTCATTTGCGTCGCAATTACGCATGCAAAAGTAGGTCCTAACATAGAGCCAGGCAATGATTTCTCAGAAACTCCACCTGACCACAAATCAATATCAGCTGGATGTCTAAAAAAATAATCATAAATTATTAAAATAATATTCAAAATATTTACATATAGTATTTAAAAACTTACTCAAAGATACTTTCATAGCGTACAATCGTTTCATTAGGCATAGAACCAAACATTTCTTCCCAAGTATTTGAAGTAGGTAAACCACAGAATTTTCTAAATTCCATATAACCAGGCAAGCCAAATTCACGTCCACGTTGCATATTAAATGAAACCAAATCCATACCAAATCGAGCACCTTCTTTCTTAAACAAATGATTTGTTACTTCCTGTGTAATTGAGTCGTCCATAGCTTGTGCTACTTGATTCATCAAACCCATAAAATATTCATCCAATACACCGGCACGATACAAGTCATAAGGACGACGTATCAAGTCAGATAAACGTTTTGACGCAATAAATTTATGTGCCTTAGACCAACGTTCTACTGCTGTAGGTAATAATGAATGTCCAAAACGGAAAGCTGCGCCGGCAAATGCATCAATAATGCCAGGATTTACACTTGGATCATAGCCATCCCAATAACCATCCTTTCGTAATACTAAACCAAACTTTTCCATTATTTCTTTACCTAAGAGTATGGGTAAAAACTCATTGAAGGTGACATGTTGCACAATAGCTACATTGATACGACGTGCTTCTTGGAATAAAGTTTCATCATCCCAATGTTTGTTGATTTGTGCTAAGGCTGTGGCTACACGATTGTGTTCTCGTGCCATTAAAGTGTGCATGCAGGTCAGTACCAATTGTTCATTGACACGAATTTCACCAGCTTCGAAACAGAACATGCTTTTGTTGGGACGAGTGCAACCCTCATCGGGTATATCTAATTTCAGTGGTAATAAATCTTTAAGTCCATACTCTTGGAATACAGGATTCATGCGCAGCAGACCACCATAGCCTGTACGCAGCTTCCGATCAAATTTCTCATTTACACCATAAACTGTGTTGGCATCGATGACACCGGTGAGTGTATTGAATTGTTGTCGGGAACCTTAAAGAAAATTATATATGTTAAATATATATCAAAAATTGTGAAAATATATAATTAGTCATATTTTAGATATAAAAATCTAATACAATATGCTGAATCAAATTAAAATTTATTTACAGTCTCTGTCTTCATCAGATGTATATTCAGTCTACAGTACTACTTCTGCAGCAGTTGTTACTACTCCACTGCCAACTTCATTAAGATTGCATTTTAATTTTTAAGTATTGCATTAACGTCATGCTATTGCATTCATTTAAAATACATTATTTATTTGAGTCGTTTAAGTATTTCAAAAATATAAAAATCACGCCTACTTCTCCCCACAAAAATAAGAGCTGACAGATAAAGCCGGCAGACAGCATGCCGAAAAGTGCAAAATTTATGACCGAAAAGTGCTTACCCGCATTTTTCTACCAATACTGAATGACGGTCTCTGTGTTTTGGCAATTGGGGCCATGATCTTTTAAGGCAACGGCACATGGCAAGAAGCTTAAGCTTCTGTATTTTTTTGGTTGGGTTTAATGATCAATAAAAGTATTTCTGTTGCCAATATTTTTTAATTAAATTGTAAAAATATTTCGTTTGCAAAATTTTGAAATCTTAATTAAGGATTGGTTAATAAAAGGAAATTGCCTAGACTTATTAGTTAATCACCACTATTAAGTAGATAATACATTGATCACTTTATTTTTTACTATTTGGCTTAAATGGGTGAAAAATACGGGGTATCAGTTCTTAACCACGTCCGATATTAGAATTTTCTAATTGACATTCTGTCACTTATCAAAGAGGTGTAAACGTCGTCAATGAGGGTATAAGTTTAGGCTTGACTTAAAGTCAGTTTCTTTCTATTTAACTTGATAAGTCGCTAATTTTTGATGATTGGTAGAGTAATAATATGTAATCTCTGACCGCACATTAAAATTCTTTGACAGTAAAGTGTTACAGTGCTACATAACAGCAAAGAAGTGCTATATTTTTACTTTTTGTAAGTTAGAAATTAAGTGGAGTTTAACCGAATACTAAAAAATTACGAACCTGATTGTTTAATAACTCGTTATTATTGTAATATCTCAAAATCAAACACACCTACTTAGTAAGATACTAAGCACATCCGAATATTCCTAATATACTATCGAAGTACGTAATAGTTTTTTGTGAAAAAAATACTTATTCTATTGGAAAAATTTTTAGAAACAATACGAATGACTAGAAAAGACAATAAGATCATATAGACGAATCATATAAATTTTAAGATTTTATAGATTTAAATTATTTATTCTGAAAAATATGGGTTATTTTTTTTTTGGGTTTGGAAAATTCATGATTTTTTTGAAATAATTAGTCACAAAGAAATTTTATTAAAAAATTTTAGACTTATATTTGATTGACGGTAATGTGAATTATTCTTCAATATAATAATATATATATTAACCATATTAATATATATGGTTAATATTCAATACCTCTTGTAAAAATTATATCATCGAATTTTGAAAACTTTTAACTTTCTGATTAAATAAATTGTTTACCCAAATATAAACATGATAAATCTAAAAAAACATAGATATCCAGTATTATTATAATATAGATATCCAGTATTATTGTAATACTTGATAAATCTCATAAAAATCAATCACATTTTTTATGAACCTTTTCCAACATTTCATATGATTAATTATATTATATTTATAAATATTAAAGAATGAATCTTCTTACCCAATCTGCAGCCGGGTCTAGGTGATGGAAAACCTCTCACAAAATCAATGCATTTTACATTAAACAAACGGTAGAAATAATCATCGTCTGGTATGCGGATCTCATTACAATAAGGATGCTTCAAATGTAAGGGACGCTTACAGCATTCCTCAGGATCATTACGGTTGATGGGATCTAAAAAATAATAAATAAAATAGTTATTATTATATTATGATTGTTATGTATTGCAGGTTAAAATAATTACATATTTATATAAATTATAATTATATATAATTATACATAAATTATATCAATTAACTAAAATAACACTATAAGGAAGATTTCAAAATCTTCTGCAAAAGTTATTCATATATTATTTTTCCAAATACAAATCATATAATTATCAAAATATGAATTACTATTAATTAAAGTATTTAAGCTAATTTAAGTATTATTTTTAAAATTTAATGTACTTTAATTATTAATTTATTCATATTCATGTATTTGTGCTTACCAAGTGGTGTGCCGGTTAATGTAAAATCATGATCCATGAATTGACCCCAAGCAATAACCATAACAGTGCCGGCATGATCATGGTAGCCGTCATCAGGATGCATGGTGCGCGAGACAATACGTGAGTAAGGCAAATCATGACCGGTAACAGAAATACGTGGTGCATTTATGCCGTCAGAGTAAAGTGGTCCAATTAAACGTTGAAATGGTGACATAGCAGCACCCCACGTTGGATGTTCAATATTATTGCAGAGGCCATCGAAACGACGATATTTACCCGGCCGACATTCAACACCAGCAAAGAACGGTGGACACACCTCACGTATGAGTGTCTTTGATGTGTCAATTGTGGGCAAACCCTTTTCAATTTCCTCATATGATAAACCATAACTATAAAAATAACAAATAAAAAAAAATTTATTTATTTTTTAATAGTTTAGTTATAAAACTACACAAACTCAAGAAGATGTACTACCTTCAAAAGGCAATACTAATATTATTGTCTCCTCAAATTGTGAAAAATTTATTTAAATGTTATTAAAAATAAATAAAATTTTCTATAAATTATTTTATTGATTATATTATTAAAAACTAAAATATTATGTCTCTTTAGTATAGCGTAATTAATAATACATAATATAAAACATAAAACCAAAAAAATTGTTTAATACACCACTATTTTTTTTCTTTTATTTTTTTATTCTTTATTTTTATCTTTTTTTACCTTTCATTTTTTTATTAAATAATACTAGCACTATTTATTAAAACATTTATTTTTAAAATAATTTTAAACATTATTTTTAAAATTATATCTTTATCTTCTATATTGTCTAACATTTGCACGTATAATTCTACGTTACTAGCCAGCTTGCTTAAACTGTTAGTGCTATTATTAATTGTTAATAAATAATCAAATTTTGTTAAATTTATGTGAATACATTTTGAAACATTTTTCGGCTTCAAAACCCCATTGATAATTCAATTATGTATTAAATTTTATTCTTCAATTAATTACCAATTTGTCTTAAATTTTTTTTGTTGAATTAGCGATAGTTGAAATCGCCACATATCCAACAATGTTGCTTAATTCGTTAGCAACAAATTCGCTATAAACATTCTATGTTATTTATAAAGAAAATATGAGTTCGTCACAGGAATTCGTTCCTTGTTATTAAATAATTTACTATTATTGTTGTTTTATGTATATATTAATAATGTTTTTATATATGTACAATGTACATATACATTAAATATTTTTTAGTAATAATAAATTAAAGCTTATTTAAAATAAAAAAATTATTGCTTGCATGAAACATCATCTGTTTCTTAAAAAATTATAAAAAACTATTAAAAATAAATATAAAATGATTTTTATATTAAAAATGCATTTTGAGAAATATTTATAGTAAAGCAAATCTAATTTAATTTTAAAGTTAATAACTGTTAAGTAAAAATTTTGCTGCAAAGTGTACGCTCTGGCTGAAAAACATTGTAATTGCTCCAAATGAACTATTTAATCACTTATACATTACGGCATACTTTAATTATTCTCACAGCGACAGTATAGCCGATCAGTTAAGAGAGTAATACTTGTCTCGATCAGCTTTGGACGAACTACTTCATCACTCGCTTGTTACGGAATACTTCAAACACACCCGCAACGCAAACACGACCGATCAGTCAAGAGAGTAATAATTGTCTCGCTCTGCATTAATTTCAACAACTCATAAACTAGTTTAAATTTGGCATTGATTTCAACAACTCATAAACTAGTTTAAATTTGGCATTACTGACACAATTGGTTCACTGCTAGAAAACGAACTAATCTTACGCTAGGCTTCCACTAATCCAGCTTCCTATAGAGGAATTACAAAAGAAATAAAAGACACAATTATAGTTGGAGACAAAAATATCTACTTTTATGGGAACTTAATCGGAACAAAGTAGATAATTACACCTCAACAAACACGAACAACTGACTGTTTACAACAAACCTTGCTATCTGCTAACAATTAAAATGTGAAAAAACGAAAGCTCTCCTAGAACTTTCACAGATCTTTCTGACACATAAAAGCTCTTTCACATACATAAATCAACTTATGCCAATGGAAACGACCAAATCTTAATTTTATTAATAAAAATTGATTTAGCAGCAGTGTGAACGTAGTAATAAAGCACATTCTGTTAGAGACTATGGAACTACTATATATGTTAATTTCTAATTAATTTGTTTTAAATATGAATACCGTGGTGTTCATAAATAAATTCAAAATTAAAAAAAATTTCTATAAATTAAAAAGTTATTAAAATAAATTAATAATTAATTAAAATAAATTTTTATATATTATAAATTTATGAAAACAAATTTTTTAAAACTATAACTTTATTAAAATAAATTTTTATAAATTTTAAATATATAATAAATATATTTATAAACTAATTTATTTATAACTTATATAAATATAAATTAATAAAACATAAAGTTTATAATAATTTTATAAACTAATGTATTAATTATAATAAATAAATGTATAATAATAAATTTAAATTAATAATAATTAATTAAAATAATAATAATTTTAATAACTAAAAATTATTAATGTTGTGAAGATGTGACGTATTACTCTTGAAATTGCAATAAAGTAGGGAAACATTGAAGAGAAGAAGATAGAACTACACATTAATACTATGTTCCAGGCCCTATGCTCCACTGAGAGATGAGGATAAGACAGAAATCAAATCGTTAATGAACAAGCAACATAGTTAATTAAGTTAGTGACTGACACAGATGCTAAGCAGACATGGCTTTGGGTAGTATAAACACCATTTTCACATTAAAGAAAATCCATGTTATCCAAAGTGTCCCAAGGAAATCAAAATAGATATTATATATTCAGAAAACAGTGAGTGTGGCTTGAAATATAATAGCCAGTCAAATCTGTAGTTGCACAAATGTGGTCTAAGTGTCTAGGTATGGGAAATGTCTGTATTGCAATATGTACTAGTACGAACTAATGAACTAACTAATGAATTTTAAGTTAACTTATCAGTCCTTTCAGCAAAAGTTTTTCGCAAAAAATAGAAGAGGCGGTTTTTCGTGTGTTAAAGTTACTCCCCAACAAAAACTTACGATCTTTTTATTACGTAGAAAAAGATAAAATATCACTTTATGAAAGGTTTTTATATACTTTTTAATGTTAAAGTCATCAAAGGAGGAAAAACAAAACGTTAAAAAAATCCTATAAGAGCAATAAACTAGCATGTCTAAATAATCAAAGCATCTATAAATATTCGTTATATTGAATGAA